TTCCTCCTGATTGCTGCTCGACTGTCAGTTTTCATGACGACGTGCAAAATTATTCACATGTGCACGTTTCTTAATAACATATAAAGGTATAAATTAAAAATATAGCTTCTCCTGTATAGTTACACTGATTTGACTGAAACTTTTATGGAGAATCTTGAACTGGTGCCACCTTCTACCATCGTGGCTCTACAGGATAAAGATCAGAATGCCATTTTTCCTTCTTTTGCCATAGATGACCTTTAATATCTTTAAACAATAGCATCACCTTTACAAGAGTTGTGTTAAATGTTACCGTTTCTCTCAAAGTTTGGTAGAGTAGTAATGACCCTTAAATCCGTTTAATCTTTATTCACAATTACAGATGTCTTCATGCTCTTAGAAGCTCGTACATTTCCAAACAGCTCCAAGCTAGTATACTATTCATCTGCTCTGAAGAAGGCTCAGCTTCAGGTCAACAATAAGTTGATAATAAACATATGAAGACAGCAGTTCTCAGGAATCAGAACTTCCTCCAAAGATCTTATCTGGCCTTGGAACACCTCAGACTCCCCCAGAAAGAGCTCGAAGATGTTACCGAGTTTCATCTTAGTGCACTGTGACTGTAACTCCACTTTTTATTTTCTCTTCTCATCTCCACCTTTTCTGTCTTTCTAATTCATAGCCAAGCCACCTCTCTCCTCCCCGGCTCTCCAGCGGCCCCACCGGACCAACCGCCGGAAGCTGAACCGGCAGCCTCAGACGTCGCCCTCCTCCTCGTCCTCCTCTCACCCTCATCCGGGCCCTTCCTCCGTCCTCCTCTCTGACAGCACCATGACGCCGTGGGGAGGCCTGGCTCACTCCGAATCCTCCTTCGCTTCCATTCCTCCGGCGCTCCCTCCTCGACCCCCTCAGCCTCCGCCTCCTCCGGCTCCTCTGCCCACGCCGTCCGCCCCTTATCGAGGGAGACCAGAGGAGGACGAAGAAAGTTCTGGTTCAAGTTTTAACTCTGAGATTCCCTCTCCATCTCTGGCAATCCCTCAGAACAGTGCAGGTAAGGGCCTTCCATGACCAACTGCCCCCCAAAAAAACCCTTAAAAAACTCACAACGATCAAATTGAATCTGTCTCTCCAAGGAATCGTGTCTTATATTGATGGTTAATTGAAAGTTTAGTGCAACATGTAAAATCTGAAGTAATTTAAAATCATGGGAAAAAATACATTATAGTGCAACATGGCAGAAATAAGGGAATTATTTTCACAAAGGAGCTTTAGTTTTAAAGGTGAGTTTAAATACACATTATCATACTAACCAAATAGGCACACAAAATAAAATCCATATTTATATAACGGCTAACACCTCTAATGTCACTTTATCCAACAGACTAGCATTAGCTACACGTTAGCCAACTTAACTAACCACTATCTAGGCTATACCTCGCTAACTGTGAAGTGAATTTTTGTTTACTTTTCATCATTAATGCTAAATAGATAATGTTAACTGTGAATCCAGTATTACTATGTGCAACACTTCTTGTCAGGACTTTTTCTAACTTTACCTACGATAGCATTAGCACAAGCTAATTTAACTTGATTTGTTTCGTAGATGTCATTTTGACACTGTGGGTAAAAGACAGTTATAAAAACAATATATATATAGTTAATGATGGCTGGATTTTGTTTAGTCCAAGTGATATATGTGAAAATGACATTTTCATAAACAGTTTGGAGCTGTGATTTTTTTTAGAAATTTGCAACAACGGGGGCCATTTTGTTTTCCAAATTAGCCGAGTGACGGTATGTTGCATCATGTGTTCTGACACAGTGTTTTCCCCACATATTATAATGGTTTATAACATCATAAACTGGTCAAGGGAAGGATTAATGGTGAATTCAGAGACAATGTGAAGAGAAAATCTCAGTGACAACTTAGGATAGACGTCCCAACATCATGTCTATTGTATGCGTGTTGTGAGTAGAGTTTTAAAAGCGTATTCACTGAATAATCAATATGACGTTTCTTAGCGTAAAAAGGTGTCAAATCTTACGGCTGAGATGTTAAACCATTAGGTCTGTAAACGGAGACGAACAGTATTGTTTGTTAGTTGACTTTTGGACAACAACAGTTTTGAAAAGGCTTCCTGGATGAAAACCAACCTGGGCTCTTTTACTTGATGACCGGGAACCTTGTTGAAATATCTACTAAAAAAAAAGGCTTGTAGCAACTGGAGACACTTGTAGTCAACTCATTCACAGACAAACCAGTCTATCCTCAAAGGTGTGTAGCATGGAAGACCGTCAAGAGTATTTTAAATGCAAGAAAAGCCTCCTGAAGTGCACGGCTCTGTGAAGGAGACACGGAGGAATGAGTTCGACAACAAATCAATCAAACGTGTCAGCAAGTGGTCTGGTACAGATCCTAGAGCAGACACCACGAACAAAAAAAATCCAAAAGAAAACTAACCACAGACCTGATGAACATAAGGGCCACATGGAGTACAAGGAGGACGTCAGGCCTGAACGCCTGTCGTAGATGAACATGGAGCAGGGAAGATTGAGGTCAAAGAGGTGGACACCAGGGAGGTAATGTTGGAGACAAAACCAGGCTTCAAACAAGAGAACCAGCAGGAGATGAAACAGGAACAAAGGAAGGTGTAGGAGTGTAAATGCAGGGAAGTAATGGGAAGACCAGACACAGGTGAACAAAAAGGACAAAGGGAGGAAATAAAACAACAACTGGAGATCTTTACAACATAAACCAGAGATAACTGAAAAATTCTCAACACTGAGATTTTCACATAAATGTTAATGTCAAGGTCACATTGACTGTTGCTCTGTGTAGTCGCTGTATAATCAGGGTTCATTTACTTAAGCTCTTAATGATGTTGTGTAGCATCATCGTACTCCTTTACCATCAAAACATAGACAGACGTCAGCTTTTCTGTGTTCTCGTATCTGTTTCAGGAGACGTGATGCAAAACTTTTCAGGGTTTTAAACTGTACTAGTGTGTGTGTGATGATGGAGAAACAAAGGTTTGAGTTGTCAAAGCAGGAGAATCAACAATGGCTCCGTTTTATTATTGAACTACAACTGCTCCCTCTGAACCTCCTGCAGAGCACCAGGGCCTTTTAATCTATTTCCTGATCCAAACATGGTCTGTGCAGGCGGTTTGGGTCGAGGGTTGCGGTCGAGGAGAAGAGTGTTGCCTCAGCGTCGGGTTCCTCGTCCTCCTCGTCTCCCACCGCTGCGTCCCATCACCAACCTCAGCTTCTCCCGGAGCTTCACGTTCTCCTTCTTCGAGCTGCCGCTGCACCAGAGTCCTCGCTGCCGGGCCGAACGCATCCGGAACCTCCTGCTGCTCCTAAAACAGATTCACTTCTGAAGTTTCAAGGCTGCACGGACAACTAACGGGGGTGGCAGAGATATATGGTTTAGTTTTGTTAGTGCTGCATGCAACAGCTCATGCAAAAAGTCTCATAAGGAGTGGAGCAGTGAGTGTACAGTCATCCTCAGATGTATTCATGCCATCCCATTAAAGAAGGACAAAAAAAAGCTGTCACTGAAAGAAGCTGAAATTGACAAAAGTAATAATAAACAAACATTTAATGAAAATCATGACATTGCTTTTGAATTGTGGTTCAGAAATATTTTAAAAACACAAGTATGATGGGATCCATAAACTAATATTTAGTTGAACAACTCTTTGAGCCAATCCCTGCCTTCTGTAACTCTCAGTCAGATTTCTCCACCTGTTGACAGCTGTTTGGTGGATTTCACTGCTCATCAGCAAAGTGCTCTAATTGGTCTGGGACAGTTTTGGTTGGTTTTTAAAAATTATTCTATGGAGTCGTGAGAGTGCCAAATTACAAAAATAAATCAATAAAAGAATTTTAAAAAATTAAAGTAGAAATAAAAAGAAGAATAAATAAAATTTAAAAAAATAAATAATGTGACAATATAAAGCAATGTTAATCAAAAATGAATCCATAAAAGAAAAGGCTAATAAAAGTATAAATAAAAAGGTAAATAAATAAAATAATATTAATTTATTTTAATTTTTTTAATGTGTTATTTAAATTTACTTTAATTTTTTTTAAATTTTGTTTAGTTTTTATATTTTTTAATTTTTATTTTATTCATTTTTTATTATTATTTTCGTTTTTTAGTTTATTTTTATAATGTCGCTTTAAAAGCAAAGGCACAATGACATTCCTACTGCGCACATTTTTCTGCGCATATTTCCTTTGCCTTTAAAGCGCTTTTTAAATTATTCTTTTCGACCATTATTCAAAATCAACGTCTTATTTCAATAAATTATAATTTAGCAAATTTTTATTTATTATTACTTTTCTCAGTTTTTAGTTATTTGAGTGACTATTGTCAATTTTTCCTTTTCTTTAATGGAAGGAGATGAATACATTTGAGGATGACCATATATTCTAAATTAGACAAACGAAACTCATTGCATGGGGCTTTAAGTTAGATCTGTGTGCATCATTTTAGAAATTCTGCATTTTGGTTTAAACATTTTGAAATTTGTGTTGGTGCTTGTCTGACTTTTTTTTTTCTTTTCCTGGAGTTGCTGATGTTTCTGTCGGGACATTTACTTTTAATGATCTGAGGAACCTGCATCAGCCCCGTAGTGGCTTCATTCTTTAACTAACTGCTGCTGTGGAAGACGTTTCTTACACTATCAATTTGTGTAGCAGCTTTCTTTGGATACCTGTTGTGTTTTGCAAAGTTTTGGAGAGTTTTCCTTTCATTCTGTTTGGTTTTCTTTCTCTATACATGCACCTCTTATTCTTAATTTCCTAAGCAGCGGGCTTCCACTCAGTTTCAGATTTTCTGGGTTGGAGTGGCTGCTTCAAATGATTTGATTGTTCAAAGTGGAACACATTAAAATAGATTAAAAACACACACATTTCTCCCTCATTTATCTCACTCTTTCTCTCTCTCTGAAAGCTGAGCCGGGATAATGGAGGCATTCACTGCCACTGAATGGGGCGGTACAGGGGAGGAGAAAGGGGTTGTAAACTGGCTGCAATGTGCAGAGTTCAAGGCTGTTCTCCACCTTCCCCGACTCACGTGTGAGCGCTTGTGTAGCTGTTTGTGTTGCCCTCATACGTGCACACACTCACCATGTTGAACTATCTATATTCTTGCTGAGACAGACAACCTTTGCCTTTAGCCTCTTGCTGCTTTGGTATTGTTTTGGTTGTTATCTGGACTCTTTGTCACGTGACTTCACATTTTACACACACACACATAAAAAAAAAGAAAGAGAGAAACTCATTAAGCAAACACTCAAAGTTCAAATAAGTCCAAAGTGAAGCTTCATTGTGCTGCCAGTGATCTTTTGACAGTGATTTCGGATGGACGGCGCTGAGCAAAATGACCTCCCTCGCCACAGGACGTGTCATCTGACAGTGGCGCTGGATGAAGCACAGCTGGACGTCCTTGGGCGGCGGGTTGAAAAGAAGTCACAGTCATTGCTGGAGAGGGTGAAGACACAATGTTGGTGAGTCACAGGATAGGTTCAGTGGTTTGACCTTCCCTCAGCATTACAGAGGATTTAAGCCTGTCTGTGTATGTGTGCTCCTACAGGTGTTCTGGTCCCAGGATGAAGAGCCTCCTGCTGGGCGTTATTCCCATCCTGTCATGGCTGCCGCGCTACTCCATCAGAGAAAACGCTCTGGGAGATGTGGTGTCTGGAGTCAATGTCGGGATCATGCAGCTGCCGCAGGGTGAGGATACAGTAGGAGATAGTGATCACAAAAAGAGGTGCTTAAAGGTTTTAAACAGCTAGAAACTGCCACAGCAGCTTCACTCACACCTGAACAAAGACATGATAATCCTTCAAAACGGAACCGACACTTTACGTCCTATTGGGATTAGAAATGTGACTTCCAAGACACGTCGTCAACAAAACAGCATCAAAAGAGATCCACAATAATTATGTCGTCGTCTATATATTCAACGATCACGTACGAAAACGCTCACATTCTCGTTCCAGGTGTTTCTCCAGGTAACAAACGGTTTCTTCCAGGTGAACTCACACTTTGATGGATTTTGTGTCCTGAGATGTTAAAGTTTCTGTCACAACGGAACCGATCGCCTCCTGAAGATCAATAATCTGATTAAATGTCCACCAGTGTCCTCTTTTCTTTGGGTAAAATATATATTTTAATTTTCGACATGGAGGCGGAGTTGTGGCGACAGTGGGCGGGGCCTGTCTGTTAGGGGCGTGGTCCGATGATTTTGGGGAGGAGCCACACGCTATATAAAATATGAGGTGTGTCAGAAAAGTTCCAGGACTGGTGTCACAGAAGATGTATTTCAAATCCAAACTACAAACTACCCCTTCCAAGTAATCCCCCTGGAGTCACTTCCCCAGCCTTCTCTGTCACGCCACCATGCACTCCTGGAAGGATTCTTCCGGGATCCTCCACAGCTCCATCGTTACAGCCATCTTGATGTCGTCCACATCTTCAAAACGGGTCCCCTTGATGACCCCCTTGAGCTTGGGGAAGAGGAAACAATCCCACAAAGCAAGGTGGGGTGAGTAGGGAGGTTGCTCCAGCACCAAGACGTTCTTCTCAGCCAGGAACTGTGGGATTCTCAGGACATTGTGAGGCATGGTGAAGCAGCCACGACTTGTCCTGCCACAACTCTCACCTCTTCTGAACAAAGCAAACGCTGCAGGATCTCTTTGTAGACGTGCTGGTTGATCGTCTGAAGGGGAAAACTGGTAGTTTGTAGTTTGGGTTTGAAATATATCTTTCGTGACACCAGTCCTGGAACTTTTCTGGCACACCTCGTTGTCTATATATGCAACGATCACATGTATTTCTGCTTTGCAGCTGTAAGGCTTCATGCAGTCGGTAAAGGAAAAACATGAAAATATACATGACATTCAGAACAAATGTTTAGAACATGAACCAGAAATGTGAGATACGTCAAAAAGTTCTCGGCCTCACCAGAAAACATCACAGAAAGATTCTTCTTTCATCATTTTTCCACATCATCCCCCTTTAACGTCAGCGCACTCGGTCCACCGATGTTCAAACTTCGTGGAAGACGTTCACATCTTGAGCCTCCAGATCCTCCACAGCAGGATGCATGACCTCATCATCGGTCTGAACGTGGCCACCGGACAAGTTGCTGCTGTGTGGAAGAAGCAACAACAGCCAGCTCCAAACCTTCCTCTGCTTTTTTATTTAATTGGGTCAAACATGTAGTTCTTATAGACACTGATAAAAAACTTTACAGGATGTTATGTCTCAAAATGGGTCGGATGCCCCTTGTTTCCAGAGGAGCCTGACAACTTTATAAAGTACCTTCATACTTCCTTCACACTTAACTAAAGACATGACAATCCTTCAAATGAATTTTAGTTTATTAGGATTTGGAAAAATACTTCAAAGAGACATCATCAACCAAACAGCATCAAAAAGCTCTATAAAAATGTCCTTAAAAAATATATTTACATATACTATATAGTTTTTAAAATCCATATATCATTTGCAGCTTTAAGGCTTCATACAACTGATAAAGAAACAGATGAAACAATAAATTAAAGCCTCTTTACGTGACATGACAGAAGCATTCAGATCAAACATCTTGAATATATAATATGAGTGTAAGCTGTATTTTTAACTATGCACACATCTAACAACTAACTGATTTTAAGAGCACACAATTAATTTAATAGAAGCGTTTGTTTATCACATAGCCTACTCTGTATTCCCGTCTCTCTCTCCCTCTCTTGGCAGTTCTCTACAAATCACTAAATCACTCTTGTCAGAGAAACTCCCAGAGAAACATGCACTTGACCTTTCGGTGTCTGTCGTCCGTCCAAGACTGGGAATGTTTCATGAGTGCAGAAAACCTCAGGACTTTTAAAAACGCACAGAAACCCCTCTGAAAACGAGGCTGCTTTGAGAAATTTAAGATTTTAAAGAGGCACAAGTTAATCATTTGAAGCATTCTTTCCACAACCTCCTCTCTCTCTCTTCTCCAGGTATGGCCAATGCCATGTTGGCAGGAGTTCCTCCAGTGTTCGGTCTCTACACGTCGCTCTATCCTCTGGTCGTCTACTTCATCTTTGGCACTTCCAGGCACCTCTCCCTTGGTGATAAAATTGTTTATGTGATATTTTGTCAAGTCTGTGCCTGGTTCAGTGTCCTAAAAATGATCTTTAATGTAAAATTCTAGTCATTTAAAGTCTTTCTCCAATCATTGATTCAAACTAAAAACGCATTTCTGTACATTAGCGCTACACATTTAGATTTCTTTTCCCCATAAAAATCATCAATTTCAGCCCTAAAATGGCTCAGATTTGACTTTACAACATTGCGTCCGATAAAATATATTGATCTATGAAGTTTCTCCACTCACCCCTCCACTAGTCGCTGCATCTCCAACACACCAGCTCACCCACAACTCTGTAAAGCTACTCTACGCTGCACAATGAAAAGTTCTAATATTGGAGTAAGTCAGCCATAAATACAAGAAGAATGTTGATACAGAAACCCAGCAAGCAGGGAACGTTCCCACAACATTAGCTAACATTACTTACAAGTTCCAATTATGTTTGGAGGAAACTATCTAAGGTTCAAAGAACATGTAAGGATATTCATCACTTCAATTATTGTTCCTATAAGGTTAAGACAGAATGTTTTAACATTCAGAAACTGATTGGAGGATGTCGTCACATGATGTTCCTTGATAACAATTAAAGAACGTTCTCCAACCAACATTCAAAAAATGGTTTCTAGATGTTATCGAGGACTCAGAAGACAGAACGTGTTTTCAATCAAACAATCCTATAATTTTAGGTTATAACAAAGGTGGAGCTTGTAGATTAATCGTAGCAACTGGACTTGCTTGAGTTCCTTGAAGACGTTCCACCTCTCATCCAAGAGGCTTCATCAGTTCTGACTGACTAGTTGGGAGTTCCACATACTGATATCCTTAAGGAGTCATTAACACCTGAGTTGCGGTTTCAGTTGGGGGTTTGTTGAACGCCCTTCAACTGATGCGGGAGTACGAAAGAACTTCCAGAAAACTTGCAGACTACAGGAATCATCTACGTTTCAACCTGAGATGCAGACAACACGACATAATCCCCAACAGCCTACGACTAGGGGGTCCATGGTGAAGGGTAACAGAGCAGAAGGAATCCTCCAGAGGGCGCAGAACCAGCTGCTCAATGAAAGAGTGAGACAGGTCCATTTCACCAGTGATGCTCAACGAGTGGGAGGAGCAACAAACCCCCAACTGAAACCGAAACTCAGGTGTTAATGGCTCCTTAAGGATATAAGTATCTAGAACTTATCTGTGAAGATTCTCAGTCATCCAGGTCATGGTTATTCTCGTACAGTAATCGTAGCAACTGGACTTGCTTGAGTTCCTTGAAGACGTTCCACCTCTCATCCAAGAGGCTTCATCAGTTCTGGCTGGGAGTTCCACATACTCATATCCTTAAGGAGCCATAACTGGGGGTTAATTGCTCCTCCCTCTCGTTATTCGTTAGTATTGTCGTACTAACGACTCGCACCTGGAACTCCCAACTAGATGAACCCTCTTGGATGAGAGGTGGAACATCTTCAAGGAACTCAAGCAAGTCCAGTTGCTACGATTAAACTACCAGAATAACCACAACCTGGATCACTGAGAACCTTCACAGACAACTATGGTGGAACATTTTGCACGCAACGTTCTGAGGATGTTCCAGGTGACGACGTTCTGCTATAAAACATTCCCACAATGTTACATGATAACAAAGGAAGGATGTTCTTAGCGTAACATTCAGAAACTGTTTAAGGAACATTTATAGAGCGTCTTTAGGGAACTTCATCCTGCCTTTAGGAAGAACATTCTGGGTACTAAAACTGAAACTGAAAACATTGATTGAACTTTACATAATTTTCTCAGAACATTTTTAGAACAAACAGACTCTGCTAGTTGACAGGATCGGTTCCGTACATTAAAATGCTTTGACTGCCTTTTCGGCTCTTAATGCGTCTATCAGCATATAAAGTATTCGTACTGACGTGGTAAGAAGGAACTAAAAACTTGATTTTCACAGGGCTTTTAAAAAGCAGTCCTTCATTACCACAAATATTTTCACTTCACCCTTAAGCTGCGAATAAATGAGTTCTGTCCTTCTTTGTGTGTTTGTGTGTGATCGTGTGCGACAGGTACTTTTGCCGTCCTGGCCATCATGATTGGTTCAGTGACAGCTAATGTGGAGTTGCCTAGCAACGGCGATGAAGAGAGTCAGATTGCGGTGGAAGCAGCCAAAGTGAACCTGGCTGTGCAAGTCACCGTCCTTTGTGGCCTCCTGCAGGTACACATGTACACAAACAAACAAACAAATGCATGATCACGCCTACGTGCCGTGCAGCCAAACTTGACTTCTGACCTCCGTTCTGGAAATGAGAAGGAAAAACGTAGGCTTTCCCCACAGTTGCTTGACTCTTTTAGTTTATTTTTATTTTATCGTTTGTAAAGCACACACGACCTCTTGTGTTCTATGAAGTACTTGCTCATTAAAGGAGGTGTTCCAGGAAATAATCACAAATTTTCAAACCGTAAAAACACAAAGAAAGAAAAAAAAGGAGTTTTTGGTGACGTAATTTGCTTTTTCAGTGTTTGAACGTTTTTTTTTTCCTCTTTAAGGTGGGACGACTTTACAGTGTTCCACCAGATCCCAACCTAATGCTTTCAAAATAACAAGATCTTGTCTCGCCTTCACTTGGTTCCCACACTGCTCTGAAGTTAAATCCTCCTCGTCATTTGATAGCACATCCTGTTCAACAAACATCAGGAGCTGTGTTTGGTGAAAACATCTCAGAATCAAAACAGCAGACATTCGACAGCTCTACATGGAGATATAAAGAGCTGGACAGTAAAGGTTGCATCACTGGACAAGAAGATAAAGTAACTTGTGCATTTTCATGAATCCTAAGTCAGTGTTTGTTTCCTAGATATGAGCTGTAATCAAATGTAGTTTGAAGACTGAGAAAGAAGGTTAAAGAGGTAGTTAAGATAAGAAATAAACCAGGATGCTGAAAAAGAAGACATCAGGTCTTAGAATGTAACTCAGTAGAGACACATAATGTTGCCTAATGCTCAAACATTTAAGGACGTCTGTGCTTCTTGTGTGTGTATGTGTGTGTTAGCTGGTGCTGTACCTGCTGCAGGGAGGCAATGTGTGTCGCTGGTTGTCCGAGCCTGTAGTCAGAGGATACTACACAGCAGGAGCTATGCACGTGATCATCCTGCAGCTGCCAGTGATGCTCGGGCTCCCGAGACAGAGACACACCGGACTGCTGCCTTCAGCTTGGGTCTGTTGAAACCCTGTGGTAGATTCCCACACTGAACACTCACTGAACACTCAGCAACATTAAACACTGCTGCATAGGTGCAGCTCAATACTTACAAGACTGTGAGAAAGTTTTTCTCTTCTTAATATTTAACAAGATAAACTTTCATTTATTCTGTGTTAATTTCTCATAAGTGAAACTTTTCAAGCTTCAGCTCAAGAAAATAAGAAATCTATTATCTCTAATTATTAGAAAATTTTATTTAATTTGCGTAAACTTTTACTGAGACAGTATAAACACGGTGTATCGCTGAGTCTAGCTCAGCACACACAACCACAGTCATGGACTTTTATGAGCGATAAGTCACAGTCATCAAAATTAAAACAAAAAAGGTTTGAAATATTAAACTTTACGTGCAATTAAGTCCCCAGAAAATAAAGGACTTTATCCAGATATTCAACTTTTTGAGCCACACTTGTATTCTTGGGGAAGGCTGGTTCCTGTAGTGCTCTTTATGTGGCTGATCTCACCTGAAGCAAGTGTCAAAAGCATCAACGTGATTAGGTTTTCTAAAATATCTGCTGCCAATCATGCCAGGCTATAAAACTCAGATTAACCTCCTATATTATGATTATCTTAGTAGAGAAAAATCTCCTTTCTGACTTCCTGGGGTGCTGCTGTGAGTGGATGAATTCTTCTTTGTCTTGGCAACACTTGGGGCAAATAACAGTCTGGACTCCTCCAAGCATGCACCTGGTCACGTCTACACTGTTTAGAAAGTGCCAGAGCGACTTATCACCTGCATGCAGGTGGTGGATTTTGTTCCGATTCTATGGACCGTAACCTCAGATGTGCACAGGAGCACTTTCATCGAAAAATCACGTCTCCAGGTTTGAGATCATTGGTCTCCTCCTAGAAGAAAAAAAAAAACGTTTTCAGCTCCAGATATTTATGGGAAGATGACCACAGGCAGCAGTGGAAGAAGTCCTAGAAATAGAATAGAACTTAGCATTCACTTCAAAAAGCAGTTAAAGGGACATATTCCCACCACTTTATAAAACTCATGGCTGCAAGATGAAAAAAAAATCTGATTTACTGATTTGAATAAACCTTTAAAGTTGTACACATGATTTTGAAGGGTCGCATCAACTTAACATTGTGTGTAAATAAACTTAAATTTCTACGTTGCTTGATTTAAAACTACATGTAAGTTAAGGTAACTTAATGAATTAGCTTGATAACTAATTCTTTCTGCACCTTAACTAGATTTTGTGTTCGTAAAAATGCAAATTAAGCACATACCACCAAAAAAATCATTTTAAATAGCATTAAAAAACTAGTTGGAACAACGTAGTTTTCATGCATAATCAACTTAAAAACTTGTTTATTTCATTAGAAGTTGTCATAACTCAAAACAATGATGTAAACTGTTGACACAATCTCTTTTTCCTGAGCCTACACATTTGTTTTTAGAGTGTTAATATTAAGAAATGGCAGATTTAAGTTACCAAAGTGACCGGTTGGCATGTTAGCATCTGTAGAAAGACATACAAAATGTGTGATATTAGATTACAAGAAAACTAGAAGCTGTTTCGTCATTATACTGCAGTGCAAGACAGAATAATATAAGAATACATGACGGTAGAAGTGTGTAAAGGATTAATGGAACACACACATCTCTATATAGAAATACACATGGCCGTACAGATAGTTGTGGATAACCATTTATGCATTGGATATGGATGAATACAGATAAATGAAGACAGTCTTAAATATATCTGGAAACACACAGATGTAGGTGACATTTTCAGCATAATACCAAAGGCATTCGGCAAGTACAAAAGACAGAAAAAGAAAAAAAATATTCTGAATGCTGAAAAAAACAACTTGGAGACATTTTAAAGTTTGATAAATGTGTAGAAATGCAACGCTTGAAGCAGGAAAGGCAGACCTTACTGAGAACACTGCACATATAAAAAGTGTAAACAGTCCAGTCAGTTGTTCTCCAGTTGTGTGACATTCTGTATTGATGTGAAAGTAGAGGAGGGAGTCCGGTTATGTCCCTTTACAGAGCGTCCAGGTTCTTCCTGGTGGAGCCGTAAACCACACTGTGACGCAGTGAGTTAGGATGTAGGAGTTAACCAGGAGGTTCTCCTCAGCTTCCTCAGGAACTGAACAAAATAACTGTCTTACTAACGTTGTCTCTTCCAGATTCTAAAGGATGTTCTGTCCAACTTGACCAGCGTTGTACCAGGAACTCTGTCAGTCTCAGTGGTTTCAACAGTGGTGCTCATGGGGGGCAAGCTGCTGAACGAGCGCTTTAAGAACAAGCTGCCTGTTGCTATACCCTGGGAACTTATACTGGTGAACAACACAAACACACACACACACACACACACACACACACACATAGGCGACCCAGGCTTTCCCCTGATGCGTTTATATATTAGATAAGCTCAGCAAAGATAAAAAAAAATAAATAAATAAAAAAAATAATTGACTTGAACCAGTCAGGAAAATCACCTGGAGTCATTTCAAAGCAGCCACAGCTTCCAAAATCAACTGTGTAAATGGTTGTTTGTCAGTATAAAGTGCAGCTGTGTCACTGCCTGATCAGGAAGAAAACACAAACTGGTAGCTGGTGCTGAGAGACAACTTGTCAGGATGGTCAAGAGTCAACCAAGAATCACCAAAAAGCAGAATTAAGAAGCTGCTGGAACACAGCTGTCATGCAAGAAGGAAGCATATTCCCAAAGAAAAGGCCTTCTGGAGGAAAGTTCTGTGGTATAAAACAAAAATGTTGCTATTTGGACACAATGAGCAGAAATATGTTTGGAGGAGAGAAGGTGAGGGATTTAAATCTAAGAACATCAAACCTACCAGCATGGGGGTGGTATCATTATGCTTTTTGCTGCTAGTGGAACCAGTGCTTTACACGAACTAAATGGAATAATAAAAAGGAGAATTACATCCACAGTCTAAAGAAAAACCTAAAATTATTAGGCAGAAGGTTGGTGTTGGAGGAAGTTGGGTGTTTAAAGAAGACAATGACCCCAAACACACTTTGAAAGTGGTAAAGAAATGGTTAAATTGTTAAAATTAAGGTTTGCAAAAAAGATCATGATGATGATGATGATGTTGTTGTTGTTGTTGTTGTTTTCAAAAAGACTGATCTCCTCAAACTTCAAACTTAATCAGAACCTGTGGACAGAAACCAAAACAGTTCAGTTGAGGGGAAAATGGCCAAGAGATGTTTAGCCAAATAACATTATTACTGCATGTATATTTGTGACCCAGCAGATATGTTTATTCTTCCAGAAAACCTATAATACATCTATCAAACGATGCATGGCTATTTTTTCTGACAAAGTGTTTCAATTATTCCACTGTACAAAATTAAGAGTAATGGGAGCCATTGGAAACTCTAGACTGTCATGATACACAAGGTCTTTACGGGTGTATGTAAACTGTCATTTGAGATGTAGTCCAGTCAGCTGGGCTCCATCTTTGCATGTCCCTGGTTGCAGATTTCTAAGCATCGTAACGCCCAGAGCTAGTCGCTGGAGAAACACCTCTGAAGGTCACTTAGGGACAAACTGTACTGACCACCAAAGACTCATTCTGCTTCCTGGACCCCATCTGGGGTTGCCAGCGGCACGAGAAGGAAACTGCAGACATCTCTGCTTGCAATAGCCCACTTACACACACACACACACACACACACACACACACACACATGCACAGATGCTCCCGGCGCACACTCAGTAGACTCAAGTCCATAAGATGCACCCAGATGGACAGATGCCACAGTGATGAACTCATGAATGACTCATAATTACATAATCATCTGTTTTTATCTCCGAAACCACAAATCCCCACATGCAGCGAATATCTGCACCTGGCCACCGATTAATCATCATTCTGTCTTGTCATGGTGTCGGTGAAAACTGACTTTGTATGTTTTGTTCTTTTTTGTTTTTTTTCTGCTTATGAGTTGTTTTAGAGTAATTCATGTAGAATATAGTAACTGAAAAATGTAATCAGAATTAAAGGTTTTGATTTCTCTTCAAATGTCCCTTTTTAAAAAATGTGTTAATTGTGATCTGATACATGAATGGATGGACTTTTTTTTTTCTAATCTATATTATAACAGAATTTTTAACAGGGATAATAAACTAATAAATCCTGGGTAATGCAGCACAACTTAAAATGATCAGAAAATCAAACCTAAACACCAACAAACTGTAAAAATCTGAGCACTGAGCCTTTTCTTTCCCAATTTCATCTTCTCAATCATGTAAAACTTGACTTGTGTCGTGGAAAAGTAGCCTCAAGGATCTGAAAAACTAGCTGCAAATCAGTGGAGCGACAGTATCTGACTGTGATGTGCATGTTCTGTGTCCTGGTGTCGGTGTGATTTATCTGACATTTAGACGCACAGTGCTTGATACTGTTCTTCTCCAAACTGAACATTCTGTGCAGAAAGTGTCATGCCCATTGTTTTTCTCTCCTAGATCATCCTGGGCACCATCCTGACGGTGCAGATGGATCTGGCTGCACAGCATGGGATCCAGGTGGTGGGACACATACCCAGTGGGTCAGTAGAACTGGGTTATTCTCTGTTTGCCTTTGTCATTGCATTTGGTCTTTTTCATTCAGTAGACACTTGGATTAATTGCCGCTGTCATGTAGACTTAACGGTATTGATTCTGATGCCATTTTATGTATGCATGGATGGATGGATGGATGGATGGATGGATGGATGAATGGATGGATGGATAGATGATAGATGGATAGATGATAGATGGATGGATGGATGGATGGATTTACTTTACTGTCATTCAATTGGTACATTAAAAGAAATGAAACTGTGCTTTCAACAAAATTACGAGCACAAAAAATCTAGAAGTGATAAAAGGCAAAGACGAAAATAATAATAAAATTAGAAACCATTTTAAATTGCACTACGGGCCTAAAAAAAATAAATATATCAATACTAAACACCAGTATTGCATTGCCATGGCAGAAATAAAACATATTATACCACAGACAAATTTATTGCACCCTATGAACAGGTTTTTAAGTGTCCTGTGAATTTAAGAGTCTGATGGCGGACGGGTCAAAACTGATAAAGATGAAGGCTCAGTGAAAGGCCAAAAACTTCATTAGCACTATCGTGAGAAATTAGCATGCGTCACTGAACCCACCACAAATACAATTCTGTTAGGATTTGTCGTTCTTTAAGGCAAAGTGAGCCAACATATCTCTAAAATATGACATACTACTGCCTGTAACCAGTGTGAAGCATCACCTGTAGCAAACTGTGCATCACTGAAATCAAATATATGCATTTAATGCAAAGAAAATGAAATTATGCAACATCATGTTTGTGTTTCAGATCCTATTTTTTCTTTTTCACTAACCTCCCTCTTACCTCCAATTCGTCGTACTTCTGCACTCATTTAGTAAATAAGGCTGTTTTATCATGTTATAGTTTTAAGATTCTGCTGTGTGATGATGATGATGATGATGATGATGATGAGGAGGTGGCTCATAATCCCTTATATCGCTGTATGCTGTCATTTCACTGAGCACATCAATCGTCTCATCTTCCTCTTCAGCTTGTCTCCTCCAGTCCTTCCTTCTCTCTGTCAGGCCAGAGAGCTCTTCATTCCTGCTCTGTCCACAGCTTTGGTGGGCTTGAGTTTCCTCTCATCCGTAGGCTCAATGTTCGCCAACAAGCACGGCTACCGGATCGACCCCAATCAGGTACATTCAGCTGTAACACTGACTTTAGATGAGATGACAACAAATGTAGAGAAGGGCACAATGCATAGATAAAAAACATGTAAGTAAGTACTAAGATTTATTGATAAAATGTATTATTATTCTCAGAGCTTTAATTGTTTAAGACACTTTAGGATTATTGCAGTTCTTACTGATAACAGACACAAGAATTAAGGACTTTCCATATTTATCCTCAAATAAAAATCCAGCTGAAAAACCTGAAAACATTAAATTAATAAATATTGACGAGGCAAGCTTTCCACTGATGCAAAGTGGGTTCAGTTGGTCTGACGCTCCTCACTCTTTGATCTGGTTACTGCAGACCTGCAGTTGAAGCCTGACTGTGAAATCTGCTGCGGGGAGTTAGTCACTCAGAGTTTTTCTCTGTCGAACATGAAGGTCTGCTTGTTATGTGCTCCAATCCCATATGAATTTCACAGGTCTTGCGTAACCCCTTAGACTGAAAATAGTGGCACTTACTTCTACAGATGGAATCTTGGTTTCTAAAAATAATCCTGTCTTCGTTATGAATGTAGAAAGATGAGCATGAACTACCTAATTTGGACTGTTTTATTTAGTTTTTAGTTAAACATAATCAACAAAACGAATTCCTGTTTAAATTATTGAGCTCCAGAGTCAACAGCTTCATCATCTTTTGTAAATTTCTCCTATTAAGACCACAGATGATGTTAAGCCCCTTAAGAAGTGTTATACCACTGTCTTGTGCTTCTTTTAATTTCTCTGTCTGCTTCTACCTCAGGACCTGCTGGCTCTGGGTCTTTGTAACACCATCGGAGCCATGTTCCAGTGTTTTGCCGTCAGCTGCTCCTTCTCTCGCACTGCGGTCCAGGAAAGTACCGGCGTCAAATCACAGGTACTATCATCTATTCCAAATGACGTCTAAACTCCAAACCTAGGGGATCAATTTAAACTGACATCTAACCTTTTAAATGTAGCTTTTAAATGGATTTTTCTTCTTTACTGTCGGCTTTCCTGATCTGTGTGTAATTTCTGTTGCGTTTCAATCCCACTGCTTAGATGGCAGGTCTGGTATCAGCTCTGATGATGCTGACCATCCTGTTGAAGATTGGTCACTTCTTTGAGCAGCTGCCAAAGGTAAAGTGAGACAGCAAATCTGATTTATGTTCATTAAGTAAGCTTTCAAATCGCTTCTCCGCTGTTATAGCTGTCGTACATTTTCCAGAAGGTTCCCAAATGGAGTGGAAACGGATAATATTTAAACATTTTTTTAGATTTTCCGTCAAAGATTCTGCGTCACGTTACAAGACCTTTGCTTTGGCGATGGGAACAAACGCAGCACAAGTTTGTTTTTGTGCTTCTCGAGCGCCTGTAGTTCTCTGTAACCCAGCGCTATAAATTATAGAGCACATCAGTGAAGATGTTTTAAGAAATGTCAAGTCCCTCCAGCTGGATGAGACTCACTGCGAGGATGACTCACGTGTTCAGTAATGGCTTGCTGTCTGTACCAGGCAGTGTTGGCAGTGGTCATCGCGGTGAACCTGCAAGGGATCCTGGCTCAGTTCAAAGATGTGTGTGTGCTCTGGAAGGCTGACAGATTAGACCTGGTGGGCTACACGCACACACACATGCACATACGATGAGTTACAAACTCCATCCCTCCTCTGAGCTCTGACTTTCTGCCTTCTTTCCTCCAGCTGGTGTGGGTAGCATCGTTTATTTTCACCCTGATCTTTAACCTGGACCTGGGTCTGGCGGTGGCGTTCGTCTTCTCTCTGCTCATACTCATCTACAGGACGCAACAGTCAGTAAATATCATTTCACATTCCCTACATGGAGCGTTTTGCCCCAATAAATCGGAAAATTCGGCAGCTTCTCCCAGCGTTTTAGTCTGTATTTTACTTTTATTGGATTGAATTTCAAATGGAGAAGAGTGCAGACAGATGAACCAGTTCACAACACATGTCATCTCGTAGCATTTCACATTGGAAGGTGATTTTAAACTAACAATCCAAAGTCCCCTCGGATTCCTTTTCAGGAAGCACTTAGCGACAATGGGAAGGAAAAAAAAAAAAAAAAAACTAGACCTCATAACCACCAGCTCTGACATTTTCAGATTCCCATGTGCTCTTCACTTATTATCTAGATTGGTATCTCCAGAGGGATTTGTGGGATTAGGATGGACCTTCTCATAGGAATTCTGGCAGATAGACAACCGGCTTGGTTCTCGTTAAAACCATATGTGCCGAAGTGAACCGATGCATTTCGACTTCAGCACCACTTCCAGATTTAAGTCAAGCATGTGGTGTTTTTTTTCTTTTCTTTAACAATTTGCTTTTCTGACCAGGATCTTTGAGCTTCTGCTGAAATTCTGCAGATGTCAATATTGGCTTTAAAAGCTGAGTTTCTTCTGAGGACTAGGCAAGACATTTGATTCGACATTTTGCTTGTTTTCACAGGTTTCATACACACCCAGTCATGACACCACTGTTATTACGTCTCCCGTTCAGATTTGACTCGCAACTGGTTCTCGCTAGGAACCAGTATTTAAGTTTCCAACTATTTCTGGTTAAAATGCCCAGAACTTCAGTCACGAACAAGAACTGAACCCTTCCTCTGTCAGTAGAAAAGCTTTCGTGTGGTGTCCAGGCACAACTGGATGAACCAGCAACCAACCAGACCAACGAAAACACACACAAACAGGTTTCAAGTGTGATCTCTTGCTCCTATTTTGGAGAAAATGTACCCTCCAGTTGGCATGATGACACATTCAACAAACTGTTCAATATTAGTAGCAGTTATCTTGGTTGATCATCAAACCCACAATGTGTTGGATAAATGGTTGCGTTTAAAAAGACCAGGTAGAAATCTGACACATTCTGCAAGAGCAAATAAAACATGATCTGGTTCCCAGGCTATTTATCATTGTCAGAGAACAAAACTAGCCTCCTTACAACAGATACTGCTGCCAAAAAAACAATAACATAGGATTAGAAGGGTAAAACAGTTCCAAAACCACAAGCGTTACAACTATGTGAACAAAGTATTTGTGCCAAAGGTTAAATCTATCCATACATTCTCGGGCAGCGTGCCCAGATTACAAGCCAACTCTTACATCATGGTACTGTACAACCTAAAGATGGGTCGTTTAATGGCTCAAATCAGGAGGAAGAACAGTAGATGATGGAAAACAGATGGTTTGTAAAGCAAAGCAGAAAAAAAGAAGCACTGATCATAGGAGCGGGAAGCGAAGGATCTCATGGGAAATCTTGTCCTCATTTAGTGACACAATGGAACAAAGAGCTATGAATATGTATCAGCTGTAGGGACGTCTTCTGATATGATTTGATTATTGCTCTACTGTAATCAGTGTTTTCTTTATATGTTTAAAGTGCTTAGCGTGCTAGCAAAGGAGCAAGGATGCTGATTTGGACCACAGTTTTGTGTTGTCTTCATTTATTCATCCACCGCCTCATTCCATCCCATTATTTCACACATCTTAAAAGCTTTATGTTTCCCCCCCGTCCTGCTCAAAGTTGTTGACTTGCACATTCATTAATATTCCCTTCGTCTCTCTCCTGTCTGTCATGTCGTCCTCATCTTCCAGCTCCTCCGCTGTTGTTTTGGGTCATATTCCTGCTACAGACTGTTACAGAGATGTGGGACTCTACCTGGAGGTAAACTGTCTCACAGCGCTCACGAAAATACGTTAAAGTTAAAGTTTCAAATCTTAACTTAAACATGCTGCCTTGTGTATACTTGCTCATTATCTGACAGGATTCTTGTTGGGTCCGGATGATTTGTACTCGGAAAGTTACTTCAGGGTTTACAGAGTGTGTGTTGGTTTGAAATCGTTGAACATTCAGAAGTCATTAATCTAAAGAGGAGCCGACAATGTAAATGAGGTTTCTGCTGAGCAGCGGCAGATTTTCATATCCATTATCAACCCACAACTCAGCTACATCCACTCAGAGCTCAGAAACTTTGATCCAAACTATCTGTCTTCTTCCTCATTTCATTTGGAGTTTCTGTCTCCACCAGCTTCTTGGAATTTCGAGCCAAGAATCGAATTTCTAAAACTACGGGCCTCCAACGTGGCCATGTGTCATCCCCACAGAGAAAAATGGATGTAGTATCTGTAACATCACCCACAGACAGGTGATGTTTTAAAGCCTGGAGGATACACTGCCTGCCTGCCTGCCTGCCTGCCTGTCTGTCTTTCTTTGTCAGTTATTTGAGCCTGAAAATCAATATTTGGGCAATGGGGAAGGAGGTAGATGGAAGTGAGCTGACTGGAGAGTGATGTGCTGTCAGCCAAGTCAAACAAATCCCCAGGTGTGCTTCTTTCTTTTCCCTTTGGCTTCTTGTTAAAGGAATAATACATTTAGAGGCTGTGACAAAAAACAAGAAGCTAAAGTGGATGCGGGCCTTGTAGCTCTAATGGGTTTTTGTGCAGACCAAACATGGTTGGAGCTTCGTCGAGGTCAGCACTTACTGGCCATTAGAACAAGTGCTGGAGCAGCTTCATTCAGCTGTGGTGGTCAGAGCCTTTAGATGCTACACACCTAAATGAATGGTTTGTTTTTGAGGGCTGGTACAGAAGCTAACTATTAAAATGCTGTGGATGGGGTCAACAACGTTATACTGTATTTATAATGCTGTCACTGCTTTGCATTGTGGTCAGACAGTCCCATCTGACAGGGAGCTAAAGCAGAAGCCAACAGACGGCAAATGGACGTCACTTTGGTTCTTGGAGACGTTTCACCTCATTTAAAGTGAAAAGAGACTTCCTCTGTTCTGACTGACTGCTGCAGAGTCCCAGATGTATGTTGGTACTTTCAAAACACAAGGCTAATGGGCCATTAACAACCACAGACTCAAAGGTGTCAATCAGGGTTGATTAGGCCAAAAACTCAAGTGATTTCCACGTATCCTTCATCATGGGACAGCGTCAGACCATCATCCACTCATCATCATGAGTTTGAATGTATGAAGGTCAAAGGGTAAGAGCTCTAATGTGCAGCTGCATTGAGAGTGGTGAAATAAACTCTCAAGATGAACTATTTTCTACCAGCATTCCCTTCTTGCAGTAGCAGCACTTTTTTACTGTAATAGATTTATATGTTCTTTATCACTCTCCATTTCAACAACCGGATCCTGTTCATTGAAGTGGGGGCCGCACAATCTGTCCGTTTTGTATTTGAACAGTCAAATGATGAAGAAAACCTGGTTAACAAAGAAAAGACAGATGATAAACACTGATGTGATACCTATATCTGATGTTTCTGGTTGAGGTTTCAGGCTCTGTTGAGTCAGCTAACATACAGAAAGTCTGGCTTTGTCAAACTTGTTTCGTAGTACTAGCTCTCTAAAAGAGGGTTAACCTTTGTGTAAAAACTGCAAGCATGCTTTAGAAGCCATTAGGAATAGTCCAATATATCTAGTTTAATCTGTCTTTACACAAGCAAAATTGTAAAAATAAATAAATAAATAAATAACAGTGTCTTCACTGTTTGTATGAAAACATTCAGGTGGCAGCAAGACACAAAGCCTATGTGTCCATGTTAAAAAATAATGTAAGCTCTTTAGCAACAGGAATACATGCATTACTTAAAATATCTGTAAGGTACAATTTATAAACTTTGAATTGAGGCAGCATTAGAAATTTCATTGCATCTAATTTTGACACTAATACCACGACATTCACAGGCTGTAGATTCATACAGTTAAAACCAGAAGCTTAAATAATATATATAAAGAGACACAAAACCTTTTTTTTTCTCATTTTCTGACATCAAATCAGATTAAACTTTTCCTGTTTTAGGTCAGTTAAGATTACCAGGATTATTTCTATTTGCTAAATGCCAGAATAATGAGAAAGATAATTTTTTTTAGATAATTTTTTATTACTTTCTTCAAAGTCAGACGTTTACATACGCTAAGATTACTATGCCTTCAAACTATTTGGGAACATAAGCTGGCCATAATGACAATCGTCACATTTGGAGGAAAACAGGGGAAGCTTGAAGCCTGAGAACACCATCACAAGTGTGAAGCACAGGGGTGGCAGCATCATGTAGTGGGGGTGTTTTGCTGCAGGAGGGACTGATGCACTTCACAGAATAGATGGTTTCATGATGAAAGAACATGATGTGGAAATATTGAAGCAACATCTCAAGACGATAGCCAGGAAGTTGGGCACAAATGGGTCTTCAGATGGACAATGACCCTAAACATACCACCAGATTAGTTACAGAGAGGCTTCAGGACAACAAAGTCAGTGTTTTGGAGTGCCCATCACAAAGCCCTGATCTCAATCCTGGAGAAAAAGGCATGTGGAGCAACAAACCTGACCCAGTTCCATCAGTTCTGTCAAGAGGAATGAGCCAGAATTCATCAAACTATTGTGAGAAGCTTGTGGAAGGAAAACGTTTGACCCAAGTCATACAGTTTAAAGGCAACGCTACCAAATAGTATGTAAACTTCTGAAAAGTTAAGTCACATTTAATGTCAAATATTGAGAAAAAAAAAAGGCTCTGTGTCTTTTTATTCAGTGTACTTAAACTTCTGGTTTCAACTGTATTTAGCATAAAGATTTGGGAATGATGGAACGTTTCTCGTCTGACTCCCTGCAAGAAAGCAGATAAGGGCATCTCTCAAAATGTCATACCACTTCATTTATTAAACCTTTGATGTCAAGTTGAAAAGACTCCAGCTTTGGAGCCAATCCAGAACATTCATCTCTGCTTTAATCCGTCTGTTATGTGCGGTCATTAATAAACCACGTAGTCAAAACAAAAACAGAAATAAATCCAGTGCTGGCTCTATTTTTACTGTCCGGCTTATCGTGACCTTCTACTGTTTCTTTCCTCCGCTCTCCTCCCATAAAGGGTCTCTGCAGCCGAGTCACAAAGCTGTTTCACCAAACTTTTAGAAAATTCTTGATAATTTAATGACATTTTTAATGCAACGTTGATTACAATATTTAACATTCTGTCAAACCACATTATGGTTTGCTCTTAGACTTTCCTGTAAAGACAAAATAGTCCCATAAAGAGAAAAATGCAAGAAAATACAGATAGTTTCTTGCACATTAACAACAAAATAATGTGTCAGTGTGCACATTTAATAATGTCACGCCTCATAATTGGGCTTCAGGCTGCAAATACACCAAAGATGTGACGCTGCTGAGGCTCCACTGATTGGCTGACATGGATCACATGACCTCTGCTGATCTTCGCTGACTGCACATGTAATATATCGTCAGCGTGAAACTATTAGTAATGAATTCTCCACAGCCTATCTGCACATGAAACACACCCCTAACGTCAGCATCTGCAGTGCAAATGTGCATCGACACGGCAGCAGCAGCAGCAGCAGTATTAGCTGGATGCCAAAGTGTAGCATCGCTGTGAGCAAAAGTTAACGTTATGGAAAAGCTCGTCAGAATATACATCGCGCCACCAAACTACGTACGCTCCTTTCTGAAATGGTGATAAAACACTGAGACCCAATTATGTAAACCAGCCCTAAATAACACTCCTAAGTTTCCAGTGAAGGTCGGTCCTTTATAAACTCCCTGAAGCACTCTTGATGGTGCAACTGCCAAAACATACTAAAAATAAATCCCTGGATGAAAACCACCATCTGTCACACATCAGAGCACCTAACCGTCACCAAAGCCAGCCTGTCTGGGCTCAGAGCTTCAGTGGATTCCTGTCGACTTCTCGCTCTCTGTTCCCTCACCGTCATTTTCTCCTCAATCTGTTATACTGGCGGCGGCTGCACAGCTCCCCTCAGTCTATCACATATTGATGATGCTGCATATAGTCTTTGTAGAAGCAACTCCAGGAATCAATGCTGCATTTTGCTTTAGATTTTTTTTTTACTTCCATTGTCCCCCAGAGTAGCCTGAGTAGTTAGATCATCTTTGGCGTCGCATTAATTCATTAGCAAATGCTTAGAATAAAGCCTTATACGTGTAATATCTGTTTTATTTTAATTTAACAATGAGCAAACATATTTAAAATGATGAACAAAGGGTTTGAACTTGATTTTTGCCTGAGTGAAGATTTTGAAAATGTATC